AGGAGCATCGTTCCCTGAACAGGGGTGAGATTGGGACAGCCATTGAAGGATTCAGAGAAAGTAAAGGAGGAGAAGAAACAGAAAAATAGTAAACCTGTAGGAGTCAAGAAGAGATTCCGAAGTAGAAGAAGGGTCCAAAAAGTTATAGCAAAATCGTAGAGACAACAAGCTTCAATGCAATCAAAGTATGCACGAAAACCAAAGTCGACGGACCTTTGGGTTTACTAATTAAATAAGGTGGTTATGCTTTTGAAAGGCAGTTGGGAAAAGCAAAAAAAAAAAAAAAACAATCAAGATACAGATATACAGGGAAAGGAGCTCAAAAGACCTCAGTATCAAGTTGCTTACTCTCCTTGCCAAATCCNAAAAAAAAAAAAAAACAATCAAGATACAGATATACAGGGAAAGGAGCTCAAAAGACCTCAGTATCAAGTTGCTTACTCTCCTTGCCAAATCCAGCAAACCTCTTCTCACTGAGGGAAACGATAAAGTAGCAATTTTGCTATTAAGGAGAACTGAATACTCCTCAAAGCAAAGGGGGCAAAGGGAGTACAGGGCGGTTTACACGAGCAGTTTAAACCACAGAACAATAAGAATAGATCTGAGAAGTGCAGAGTAAATTGCATTGAAGAGCAAGTTAGGTTGTAGTGTGTTGAGCAAATTCAAAAAGAAAAAATAAGTACATGACTTAAAAGGCGAGTCGGGAAAGTAAGGCAGATTTACATTCTCCAATAGAAGTTACAAATACTTTCCAACAAAAAAGATAAAAAATATAACAAAGATAGAAATAAAAAATCCTAAGTTTCTGAAGAGAGAGCAGGTGAAGAGTTCTGCAATGCAATTATTGCAGCTTCAGCAGCAGGAACAGAAGAAGAGCTCGGTAGCTCAGCAGGCGACCCTTCTGGCAAGGCAACAATTGAAATCTTAGAGGGCCAGGAACAGGCAAGGAGGCTGGGGCCTCAATCTTAGTCACAACTCTCGTTACCAGATCAACAGAAAAAGAAGTATTAGCAGGAACAGCTGGAGGAGTGGACATTTCAATACCTTCTAGAGCCCTATCAGAAACAGCAGGAGTCAAGGTGTTGTCATCGCCCCCTGAATTAGTCTCCTCCAACTCCTCCTCAATGGGGATGACAAAGTCAAAGTCGAGGTCTGGATAGGCCTTCTCCGCTTTGCATTGAAAGGCCAGCCATCCAAAGGCCCACTTGATGGTAACATCATCCTTCAGCTCGGCTATTATGTCATCTCTCTTCCTAACAGTAGTCTTCTGCACCTCGAGCTCACTACATAAGGTCTCGTTTGCCTCAGCTAGGATGACATACTTCTTTTTAAGGCCCTCGAGGAAACTCTGAGCATCAAAGGCTTCCTGGCTAGCTTTGGTCCAGACATTAGTTTTGAGTAGCAGCTCTTCCTTGGTTATCCTCAGCTCATCCCTGACCTTCTTCTCTCTTTCCTCAACCCTATCTTTGGCTGCTTGAAAGCCTTTGAGGTCAGAGGTCTGCTTCTCCTTTTGTTCCTTGAGCTCTTGCACCTGAGCTCTGAGGTTCTCGCTGTCAAAGGTCAACTCAGCGACCTTGAACTCGTATGTCTTCAATGCTTTAGCAGAATCCTCCGAAGATCGAACCCTACCCATCAAGTTCTTCAAATGGAGAGCCATCTGGGGGCAGAAAAGAAAACACGTGCAGATCAGCACAAGTCAACTGAACCGAGCTAAATGGGAGAGTAAAAACACTTACAGTGGCTGCTCCCTGGAGAGCTGAGCAGAAAGAGGCCTCAGGGGGCATGGCAGAGGCCCTCTGAATATCGGATTCAGGAATAATTGATGAAATGGCCCCAACAGCCAACTCAGCATTATCAAAGAAGTAGTCTTCATCAGTCTCCCGATCCTCCCTCTTTTCGACTTTGGGGCTCCAGAGAGGCAGCTGGGATGGTCCAGGAGGATTGGGGTTTGACTGAATTCCAGTAATCAGCCCCAAGGCTCCCTCAACCTCAGAAGAAGTGGGGGAAGCCAACCCTGGCTCAGAAGCCTTTTTGGGAGCAAGTTGAGCCCCTTAAAGAGAGGAGGTTGCCGGGGATTGAGATGAGGGAGTTTGTCTTTCTTTGCTCAAGGCAGGAGAAGAAGGCACTCCCAACTTTTGTACCTTAGCCCTGTCAACGAGGCTGCCTCCAGAGCTGGTCTCAGCCTTTCGTTTGCTATTCCTCCTATTCTTCTTTAATAGGTCAACCTTAGCCTAAAGTTCCTTAGGAGTAGATTTCATTATGGAGGAACCTGGAAGATCTGAACCAAGCAAGTTAAACAGAAAATAGGAAAAAGAGGTGAAGGCAAGGAAACCAATTCAAAAAGTGTTACCTTCTACGTCTTCAGGTCTAACAATAGAAATGGGGAGCGGAGCTTCTATCGATACCTCAAGAGGACTAAATCCCTGTGTTACTAAAACCCAGGGCTTGATGAGCTCGGAGTATTTCTCTGGGTTACATTTCCCCAACTTCCGCTTCACTTTTTTCGTCCTCAGCACTGAGTTCAGGTCGAATGCCTGAAAAACAATACAAGGAGAGCAAAGGTCAAAAAGGCAACTCAATAATTTTCAAACCAGAAGTCAATCAGTTCGAGCAAAGACTCACCTAAGTTATCAGGGGTGGACCAGGCTCTAGGGATACCAAGAGTGTCAGTCCTATCAGCAGGGTTGTACTCCCAGTTGGTGCCCCCAACGAAAAAGAATTGTTTATTCCAATCCTTATGGGAGCTCGGGAGGTGAGTAATGATCTACCTAGCCGTGGTTCGCTTGAAGATATACAAGAAACCCTCAGATGAGGTGAGCTTGACATTAAAAAGATCCACAAGCAAGGAAAGACTGAAAACCCCGAGCTCATGTTTCTTAAATAAGACTAGAAGACCCACCAGTACACCCTAGAAATTAGGGGAGAGTTGAGCAGGGCAAACGTTGAAGTGTTGCAAAACAATCTTGATGAAGGGGTGCATTAGGAAGTGAAGTTCATTCTCAAAAACGGTCACGAAAAAATAGACTTTCTTATGAACTTGGGCAACATATGAGGTGTATTTATCTAGACACCAGGGCTGGACACCAGGAGGAAAATCGTAACGACCACTAAAAATTTTCATAAGAGAAGGGTCAACCTCGCTAGGTCCTACGAGTTCAGCATGCCTAAAGGCAGCCCCTGTGCCCTCTGCGCTGTCAGAGACTCCTACCCCACTCACCTTGCCCTTACCTTTGTTAGGATTAGGAGGCACAGAAGAAGACGATGGGGGTGATTCCTCAGTATTCTCTTCGGCGTCGGCAACATTAACACCGGGGAAATTGTCGATTTCCTCGCCCATATCTCCTAAATCAGTGTCCTCTTCGATAGACCTTTCTCCCAAGAGAGAAACGGAGGAGCGAGCTCTGGAAGGGGTAGACATGATTGGACAGGAGAAAGGTAAATTAAAAGAACGGTAGAGGTGGGGATACTAGTAAGGCACTCCCTGATAACCCTAGGGTCAACACAGTAGCTTCCAACACCGAGAATTCGCACGATAGAGCCCCAGTCCATGAAGTGGGGAAGAGGGGACATGCAACAGTTTTTGTTCCAGAGATAAAATAACCGATAAACCCAGAAATGCAATAACCATCTCGAACTCGAGGGATCCAGCACGAGAAAAGGCAAAAAAGGGGGCAAAAGAGGCGTACCTAGTTAGGAAAGAGCAACAACCCAGAGCGTAATTGAAGAAAGAAGGCAATGCGGGTCTTCAAATCGAACCCAGGAAACTCGATCTTGAGTAAAGAATCAGAGAACTTCAAATCAGAAAGCCAAGAGACTGCAAGAAAGGAAAGACAACAAAGAAACCAAACAGTGAAAAATGGCAATTCTGATAGAGTATTTAAATCTTGAGAGATGTGGCTGAAGTGTGCGCGGGAACCGAGGAGGCCATGATTGCTGAAAACCGTCAAAAAGGCACCTATCACGTGCAAGCCAAAGACAACCATGTACAAGCCCAACTTTGTTTAAAAACAGCTTAACCCTTGCCTAAGCTCGCTTGGACCAGAGGCTGGGGGGTAACTGATGATACCTCAAATAAGTTATAAGAGCGAACTCAGGAAACGAGATCAGGTCAGGAGGTCTGGTAGGATACAAGGAGCTTAGAAGTCCAGGACCCGAGCTCCCCCTAGGGAGATGATAACGGAACTGACTAGGGAACAGCTGGATAACCGCAAAGATTGGGTTCAAAGCATGAGACTCTCAACCAACCAAGATTTTCTCCTAAAATCAAGAAGAATCCCGCTAATGACAGGCGAAGATCTCGGCTAAGATCTTACAGAATAGGAAATAGTCCTATAAATACTATGTAACGCCTCCATAGAGAAGGAGAGAGAAAAAAACCTAATTTTGAGATATACGTAATTGTAATACATTTGAGTGGTGAGTAGAGGAAATGGAGCAAGAGCCTCCATTGAAGAAGTGGACTAGTCGAGCTCCTGAACCGATGAACTACTATATTTTCACTCTGTGCACCCCTCAAATCCCCTCTGCATTTTGTTCTAGCATCACACACGAGCCTTATAACTCTGATTCACGCTCATCACACGTCACCTGCCCTTTTGCTCATCAACATGGTCATCCACCATCAATCCAATTTTCATTTTTTTTGTTTGTTGAAATTCAAATTTCACACTAGTTCAAATTTGAATTTTGGGCTGCCCATAAAAGGATATATCTATACTTCTAAGTTGCATCTAATCAATGGTGATTGAAAATAAATACCCAGACTTCATTAGCATTCCATATTTAGAAAATTTGTAATTCCTGTATTCATTACATCCAAAATCTAGTCATTAGTGTCTTCATGTGAGAAAGTATAAACAGTGTTTTGGCTCACCAGACAGATTATAATGCACAGCTTAAAATGTATAATACATCCTTGACATTGCAATGGAAATACTTTTAACTAAAACAAACAAAATTTGAGAAACATGATTAAAAAAAAATAGAGATAGTGCCAGACCTTAAATGGTGATCACAGGAGTGTCTGTTATATCAGTGTGATCAATATCATCAGTGGAATCCGAGGCCACCTTGGCAAGCCTAAGAAGACTCCCAGTGGCTAAAATTGCTTTAGGGTTGATATCATGCAAAGACCTTGCATAGAGACTCCTACATGCAGCACAGGCAATCTCATGCAGCTCCTTGTCCTTATGAGGACCCATTAGGCAGTGACCCAAAATCCTCAAAACTGGTTGCAGAAGCTCCCATGGCAGAGGCACTCTTCCTTCCTTTTCTCCTCTTTCCTTCTCAATAGTATCATCTCCTGTTGTGATTTTACCTGTGAGAATACCACATTGAATAATAAAAGTACTGAAAGTATGATACTTTCGATATGTTTTTATTAGAGATGAGACAATAATAACAGAGATCCAACAATATCTAAACATATTTTAAGCTAACTTACCAATTCTTATCATGTCGGTTTGTGTAGTCTCAAAATTTTCAACTCTTACCTGATTCATTTACAATCACATATAACCAAATTCGTGGTTAGTTGAATTTGTTGTCTATCGTTCGTGCTGTGTATAAACCTTGTACAAGTCGTGTTTAGAGGCTCCATGCTATGTTTAGTAAATCTAGTGTTGACACTGATGGGTTTAATCAATTTACTCGTTTATTATTCAAACTTTTGAATCATGTCCGAAATTGACAACCATAACATAAATCTAATATTTTTAGTCCGTGGACGTAATTAGGATGTGTAGAACATATTTTTCGTTTTATTTGTTTCCCTTTCATATTTTCACTTGTTTTCTAGCATCAAATTCAAATAGTATAACCAGAATAATTTCAACATGGCCATTTTCACTGTTTTGAGACTCACCCATTTCACAGTCCGGCCCATCTTTGTACATTTCTCCATCTTCACCAGCCCAGATTGAACAAAACTGACAGAAATCAATCTTGGAACCCACTGGGATTTGAGATATTTTACTGTAGTACAACTCCAGAGCAACCCCAACAATTCTCGCCCTTCTGGTTGATCTCACAGTGCCATGGGGCTCTAAACTCGGAGAAATTACCGTTAGATTCAGCTCTGTAGAACTGTTCCTCGAGCTTTGTTTCGTTTCATGGTATATACTCGAGTGACCCAGGTCTGGAATGCTCACTGTAATCGCTTGGCCATCCCGAGAAGCGGTCTCGTGGGCGTAGAGAGCCAAGAGAACAGCTTCGAAGCCGGCGAGAGGTTTCCGGCGAGCGACGCGAGAGAGATAAACCCCGGCGATGATGGGGAGGAATCGGAGGACGACGAGCTGGAGGTCGGGTTGGGAGGATTGGAAAGTGTCGTAGAGCCACCGACAGAGGTGGTTATCCCCGGCGCCGGAGTCGGGTTGGCGGAGGTGTCGTGAGATTTGGGCGGCGATTTCTGGGTCGTGGAGGAGAGAGAGGGCGGGGGTTTCGGAGGAGAAGAGAGAAGGGATGATGAATGGGAGGATTGAGGAGAGGGTTTCAATGGCGGTCTGGGCTTTGGTGTATGAGTCTGACCATGAGATGTGAGGACTGGCGGGGGTGCTGGTGGGGGAGTTTGGGATGGTGGGTTGTGGGGTGGAGATNAACAATATCTAAACATATTTTAAGCTAACTTACCAATTCTTATCATGTCGGTTTGTGTAGTCTCAAAATTTTCAACTCTTACCTGATTCATTTACAATCACATATAACCAAATTCGTGGTTAGTTGAATTTGTTGTCTATCGTTCGTGCTGTGTATAAACCTTGTACAAGTCGTGTTTAGAGGCTCCATGCTATGTTTAGTAAATCTAGTGTTGACACTGATGGGTTTAATCAATTTACTCGTTTATTATTCAAACTTTTGAATCATGTCCGAAATTGACAACCATAACATAAATCTAATATTTTTAGTCCGTGGACGTAATTAGGATGTGTAGAACATATTTTTCGTTTTATTTGTTTCCCTTTCATATTTTCACTTGTTTTCTAGCATCAAATTCAAATAGTATAACCAGAATAATTTCAACATGGCCATTTTCACTGTTTTGAGACTCACCCATTTCACAGTCCGGCCCATCTTTGTACATTTCTCCATCTTCACCAGCCCAGATTGAACAAAACTGACAGAAATCAATCTTGGAACCCACTGGGATTTGAGATATTTTACTGTAGTACAACTCCAGAGCAACCCCAACAATTCTCGCCCTTCTGGTTGATCTCACAGTGCCATGGGGCTCTAAACTCGGAGAAATTACCGTTAGATTCAGCTCTGTAGAACTGTTCCTCGAGCTTTGTTTCGTTTCATGGTATATACTCGAGTGACCCAGGTCTGGAATGCTCACTGTAATCGCTTGGCCATCCCGAGAAGCGGTCTCGTGGGCGTAGAGAGCCAAGAGAACAGCTTCGAAGCCGGCGAGAGGTTTCCGGCGAGCGACGCGAGAGAGATAAACCCCGGCGATGATGGGGAGGAATCGGAGGACGACGAGCTGGAGGTCGGGTTGGGAGGATTGGAAAGTGTCGTAGAGCCACCGACAGAGGTGGTTATCCCCGGCGCCGGAGTCGGGTTGGCGGAGGTGTCGTGAGATTTGGGCGGCGATTTCTGGGTCGTGGAGGAGAGAGAGGGCGGGGGTTTCGGAGGAGAAGAGAGAAGGGATGATGAATGGGAGGATTGAGGAGAGGGTTTCAATGGCGGTCTGGGCTTTGGTGTATGAGTCTGACCATGAGATGTGAGGACTGGCGGGGGTGCTGGTGGGGGAGTTTGGGATGGTGGGTTGTGGGGTGGAGATTGGATCAAGGGAGGCGTCGATAGACATTGTCTGTGTATGTGAGAGAGAGAGAGAGAGCTTCTGCCCTTTGAGGTGTTGATAGACAGAACGTAAGGAAGATGAAATAAATTTCAGTTAAATTTACAGAGAAGATTGAGGAGGAAAAAGAGGATCGTCAACTAGGAAAGTTGCCGTTCAAAAAAACTAGGGAAGTTGGAGTCAGTTTCTCCTCAACATTTTTTTTTTCTATTTCTTTAAAAAAATTAGACACCATATGTGATTGACGTGGGTCCATCCAATATTAATATTGGAGGAATTGTTTTTTCAGAGAAATTTTAAAAAAAATGTTAGCCGAGTTTGGATCCAAATATTATTATAATTACAAGTTACTATGTGCGAGATTTACAATTGCTCTAAATTGTCACCCTTATGCTTATATCCACCCGATCCACCGTCAACCCACCCCAATATAAATGTAAAATAATGGTAAAAGATAGTGAAAATTTAAATATAAAATAGTTAACAAAGATTGTAGGAGTTATTTCCTAGGCAACATGAAAGAGTTTAATTGGAGGGAATTGACGGACCGGCCCAAACCAAGCTCAAATTAGAAATGCAAATCAGGTCCAAATAAGAAATATAGATTAAGTTTAAATTACAGATACAGAACAACAAAAATTCAGTCACAATTGGTATGTTACTAGGCCCAATTTTCTAATAAGCCTAGTACATCATCAACGCAAGTGGGAGTTTCCATCAAAGGAGAAGAAATCATGGGTACACAATCATCAGGAACACATCATCACCCTTACAAGATTATCTCGTCTATTACAAGGTAGAGCGATCTTAAAGGAATCACTCCTCTATCACATCACTCGTTATAAGGAAAAAGTGAGACTCATGACATCACCTCACTTCTTGTAAGGATAGCGCCTCAATTAGAGCGCTTCGGAGTCAACTTTGTTTCTTTATAAATTGTAAACTCTGCCTACACATGGGGGGATAACACACTACACTTTGAGCAATAAGATTCTTTAGCCACCGTAGTCCTTCCTAGCGGAGTAGGTCACCTAGTCCAAATCTCTTTGCTGGTGTCGACTCATTCTTACTTCATCCATTGATTGATTTTGCACAAACACTTTTGTGCATCATCAAGAATTATTTAAATAAATTCTAACCCAAAAAAGAAAAAGAATTATTTAAATAGTTCTACATTAAAAATTAACATTTGAGAAGAGAAGACTTCTCAAACTCTATCTCATAGAGTTCAATAATATAGTAAGTAAATAAAAATTTTAAGAAAGAAAAAGTGAGGAAAAGTTTCTCAAACTACATCCCATCTAATTTTAACTATACAATTATTAATTAGACTTTTTTATTGAGATGATTTCATTTAATATATCATTAAATCAAAATATTTAATCAAAATTTCAAAACCCAAAATATTGTTCGGCAAATCAATTTTTCTTCAATATTATATCTCCTCATTATTCGCACAATCCAGTTAAATCATCATTTATCGGGTCAATGTCATGTGTTGATTGATTTAATTTCTTCTAATATTTTTTTTAATTTTTATTCTTCATAAATTACTTAATCATATAATGATGAAAATTTTATCTATATTTAATAGGTCTCACTCAAATATATGACACGTGATTTATTAAAATTAAAAAAAATATAAAAGGACAAATATCTAAAAGAATCTCATACATCAACTTTTTGCAGCCAATTCCGAATCCGTGGTATCAGTGTTAAAACTGGATTTGGACCTAAGAAATGATATGTCCATGGAATAGAAATTTCCTAATTACTGGGTACATTTGAGTCCGTCAATATTAGTTTAGCTATTGTGCTTCAATGTGAAACCTACATTAAAAAAATAGTGTTGTAAAAAATGGTTTGGATAAAGTACTTTTTAGTAATTTTGGGATTAAATAAAAGTGGAACACATACTTCTAAATTGGCGTAATCATGTTTAAATGTGTTCTCATCCACGAAGAGATTAATGTGATATATTTATTTGTTCAAAATCATTATGTATTGAATGAGAAATGGTAAATGGTAAATTTTACTCACACCCCTTGGATGCAGGTTATATTTCACTAATTTTCTTTTAATTTTTGAAATATCACTGACCATTCCTGTTAGTTTTTATCGATTAATAGTGATAACGAAAACATAACTTTACTATATCACCTTTACCGGGACTCCCACATATTATTACATTTTTATTTTTTTTATTTTTTTCTCCTATTACTACCCAGCATAACCATAATTATAGAACTTTTTTTATTATGCGAAGAGTTTATTTGTTTATTTTACAAACAATCATTATTAACATAATTACATCATATTCATATAAAATTAATAGTCAATTTAATTAAATTAATATTAAATTTTTTCCAACTCAAATAAAATTTAATCAAATCAACACCAAATTAATATTTCATTTTGTCAAATTAATACAAAAGTTACCATCAAATTCTTCAAAGTAACATTGAATTTTGTCAAATTAACATACAATTTTATAAAATTAACATTGCATCCGCCCAATTGTCATTCAATTTTATCTAACTAAAAAAATTATCAAATTAACATCAAATTGGTCTCTAATTTCATCAAATAAATATTCATTTTTCTCAAATAAACCATTAATTTCACCAAAGTAATACTAATTTGATATTTTATTTCATTAATAATATGAAATTGATCTTAAATTTTATCAAAAAAACACTATATTTCATAAAATTACCTGTCAAATTAATCAAATTAACAAGTGAACTTTCAATCTCACTCAATTTAATCAAATTAACACCAAAATTTAATCTCATCACTTTAACATTTAATTTTATCAAATTAAAATTATTTTATTAATTTGACACTAAATTAAAATTTACCTTTATCAACACCAAAATAACCTTTAATTTTATCAATTTGACATTCAATTTTATCAAATTAATATTTAGTATCACCAAATTAACACTTTATTTTATTTCATTAATTTTTAATTGGGTAAATTACACTGACATCCCTGTAGATTGGTCTAATTACAAAGACACCCTCTAGATTTTCTAAAATTACATTGACACCTCTTATTGTTTACCTACTCATTTCACAAAGTACCCCTATGGTTAGTATAGTTATTGACAATGACAAAAAAGTGATTACATCATCAACTTTTTACACTTTAATACCAATATTAGCTAGAGAAAATTAAGCTAACTTGTTTTTTTTTTTTTTTTGTGTTTGTATTTGTGTTTTTTTTTTTATTGATAACGTGGAACCTCCCCAAGCTAGGCCCATTTTCGATCCATCCCTGCGAGAGTAAACCCCGGATACCTACACTCACCCATAAACAATAGGTATCACTTAAGCTTGAGAGACACCAGTGAGAGTCGAACCCCTGACATCCGAGTCTACGATTTGTCTGGGTTCAACTCCACATTGTTGGGAGACCCGTGTATCTGTATTCGTGTTGATGCATATAAACTTTAAATAAAAAAAAAATTTAACGTTAAGATTTAAGTTTAAAATTCTATTATCATTTAATTGAATTCATGCTCATAATTTTTCTATGAACTAAAAATCAACTTAATAAACATAACAATAATAATAAGTAAAAATATATTTTCTATAAAATAATTATGTTAGTACTTAATAAACATTAATAAATAAATAAAATTTTATTTTTATAATACCAATTAAATATGTTGATCGTGTCAATTACGTGTTATTTATGTTACCATACAAATGAAAAAATAGAGAAAGTTCGACACGATTAAACAAACGAGTTGATTGTGCCAATTTCGGTTTTGACAGGTTGAACCCGAAAGTAATCCATTTATTAGTATTTAAATATATGAGAGGATGATAAGTCAAAAATGATGTATGGTAAGGGTAATTATGAAAAATTATATTTTTCATTATATTTGTTAAAGGACAAGACTTGACAGCAGGTGTCAGTGTAATTTCAGAAAATTGAAGGGGTGTCTCTGTAATTAGTCCAATCTCCAGAGTATCAGTGTAATTTACCCTATTTAATTTTATCAAATTAAAACCACATTAATATTCTATTTCATCAAATTAAAATCAAATTATTTTCAATTTTGTCAAATTAACATTGAACTTGTGTTGGTCTTGTAGACCAACTCTTCTATTGTTGATGGTATTTGGAACTATAAGAAATGCCTACTATTTTAAATAAGAAGAGAGAATAAGATGGCATCATATTGATTCAATCTTGGTGTATATATAGAACTAGGAGTAAAACAGGTAAATCATAGGAAGATTAACCATCACATCATAAGTTTTTTTGCATGTCAAGAACGAAATAGATGGTAGGGGTGGTTTCTAAAACACATATATAAACTATAAGGGTGCGCAGTGATATTTCAAAAATTAGAAGTGGTATCAGTGAAATATGACCTAAATCTAGGGGGTGTTAGTGAAATTTACCTAATAAAAAATTTTGTCTCAAAGTAAACCACTTGAATTTATTAAAAAAACTAAGATTAATGAAGTGTAGTGTATAAAGTTTGTTTTACATTGAAAAGAAACAAAAACCTTGGTGAGTTAACATACTCCTAATTGGCTTCTTAGGTTGAGACTCAAGAAGTATCATACATTTGTAAGCGGAGTGAGCACCAACACAACCTTGAAAACCACACATACTAGCGTCGTCCACCTCACCATGAACCAATAAGGCTTGGGCCTTGGGTCAACAAAATCCTTTCCTTTTGCTGAAAATTTATTTGGTACGATGCAAATTGTGGGTCATACTTCTAACCAAAATATAAATTTTTTGTTCGTTAATTATTTGTTGGTTTTGGAGAGGAGTCTGTTCATTCCTAGAGACGTATTTCATTACTGTTCGATTAACAGTGTGTCTTGTCAATTTGAAGAGACACAACAAATAGTAGTGTCTCGTACCTCTTCAAGTAATTCGAACAGAGACAAGATGGTTTATAAAAAGACTATCTTGAAGTCATTTTCATGTATGAAAAACAGATGGTAAATTCCTACATGTTGTTGCATATGTACTCTCT